CGGGAGAGAGACAGGTGGGGAGAGGGGGGGGGGTCACATCACAAACACATACCAGCTTCATCACTGTGTCTCTCACGTGACTCTGTTCCCCTTTCGGGCTGTCTTTACATTTATTTTGAAAGATGAAGCTCGTGATTATGGTAAGGGGAGTTTCATTTCCGACGAGTGCTTGCGGTGTTCGGCCAATCACAATGCACTGGGTCAGCTGGCCAATCAGAGCAGACTGCGCTTGTCAGAAGGAGGGACTTTGTAGAAAACGAAGCGTTTGAGAGAGGCGGGGCATAGAGGACCTACAATAATGTACAGTATTTGAAAAATAATGTGTTTTTTTTAACATTAAAGCATGTCAACATATTCTGTTACACCAAATACACAAAATAATGATCTTTAAAATAGCATCATATGACCCCTTTAAATGCTCTTGTCATGTGTCTTATTACATATCTGAAAATTAAAAGATGAAGACAAAAATTTTGCTTCAGTTTGTAAGAAGAAAAGTCTAGTTTTGATCGCAATGACTGATGTACAGGAGCCGCTGAGAGACGTCAGTCCCCGACAGGTGAAGGTGATTCATTTCTCTAGTGGAGAGACTCTGACTGAGGAAGACTGTGAGGAAGAGGAGGCACAACATCAGCTTCATCAAGCGCCCAGTGTTTCTGACCCGGTCAGTATCGATGACGCACTCATGATATAAATGTAATCTCTGTCAGGTATGAAAACAACCAAATGTTGTTTTATATTTCACTTTTTAGGGAACCTGGACATGGAAGGATTATTCTCGGTTTTGGGGAACACAGATTTTGAGAAAGTCCTTGACATGTAAGAATAATGTGGAAAACACTTATAGCCTATATTTTGATGGTCATTCACAGGTCATTGTGTAATTTTATATTACATATTCATAAAAGGATATTGTTGTTGCGGTTTCTTTAATATTAAAAGGGTATTTTAATGACTGAACGGACATTCATGTCAGATTTTTTCCATTTACATTTACATGCACCCAAATATTCCGTTAGTAAGGATTGACGACTGATAAGCCTTTATGTAAACACATCAAACAATCCGATTTAGCTCGATTCGAATTAAATGGTGGTGTAGACTTAAAATAATCGGATCAACAAGAAAAAAATGAAGCACATAAACGCTTTAATCCGATTCGAAAATAGGCTACCCTGTTGAAAAAAACAGCATATGCTGGTTAGGTATGTTTTGATATTTGTAAATGTTCGCTAAAGAGCTTTTCTGACATGACAAATATGTTTCTTTTTAGATATGTCATCAAGGCAAAACGGCATTTCTACTCGCGGTCGCTCCGGTTTTGATATCATTTAATCGCAGTGGCTTCCTCCGTTCTGAACGCAGTGATTGAGCACTGCGCATGCGCGTAAGCTTCTTTTTTGAATAGATAAGCAAACGACTGAGGATGGAATATTAGTGCATGTAAACATTGTTATATAATGTCTTTACTGAAGATTTAAGTGTGGATGCTAGAATACAGTTTTTTATATCGAAATACAAATTCTAATGAATTACGCATGAGCTTCGTACGATAATACAGAAATGCTAATGTACAACACTGTGTTAAACTCTGTCATTTCTATCAGAAATATTGTATTTAATCATTATAACTCACTGTGACTTCATTTCTCTGTAGTTTGTGATTTTCTTGGAGAGAAAATGGCTGGTTTGCTGGGTCTAAACGCTGCCAAATATCAGTATGCTGTTGACCAGTATCAAAGAGAACATAAGGTAGCAAGTTTCCTAAAACTTTCAGCAGTACTCTTATCAAAGTTAGAAATAAAGCCAGAAAGGGTTTTTTTGCTTGATGTTTTTGGAGAGACTCTTTTAAATTCCTCCAAAACCAAAACACAAATCTGAAGAACTTAAAGGGGTCATATGATGCTTTTTTAAAGATCATTATTTTGTGTATTTGGTGTAACGGAATATGTTGACATGCTTTAATGTTAAAAAAAACACATTATTTTTCAAATACTGTACATTATTGTAGGTCCTCTATGCCCCGCCTCTCTCAAACGCTTCGTTTTCTACAAAGTCCCTCCTTCCGACAAGCGCAGTCTGCTCTGATTGGCCAGCTGACCCAGTGCATTGTGATTGGCCGAACAC